TGCTGAATTAAAAAAAAGTGCAGAAACATGAGTTTGATGCAAGAGTGTGCTGCAGAGGTGAAGGAGGAAGGCAGCTGGCAGGGATAAAACTAAGCAGACTGCCTACAGCGTTCTTCAGACAGGGCTGCCACTCTGGGGAGGAAACATTTGGAGTAGCTGACAAGAATAAAGGGAGGAATGGCAGAATTACCATCCCTGGGCAATAAACACGTGCCTGGCTGCCTTCGCTGCCTCCCGCAGCTCTGCTGCTTCACGGAGCGACACCCAACACTTCCAGTGTTTCCCCTGCCCCACCGACTAAGCCTTTTATCCTTGATCCCGCCACCAGGGCGGGAAACATCACTTTGTGGAAGGTGAATTGTTGGCTCTGGATGGATCCTGAGCACCCAGCTCCGCATGGCCGTGACGCTTCCCTTGGGATCACCCTTCCCCATGGGACAGGGGAACACGTCCCCTTCCCATCGTGCTGACACGAGCTGCTCTAGCAGCGTTTGGCCCCAATGCAAAAAATGCTGCCTGGGACATGGGGGCTATTCCTGTTGATTTTCAGTGCACTTTGACAATCTCGACTGTCCGTATGAGCGAGTCACCAGCAACGTCAGCTCAACGACATAAAAGGAGAGACTTCCAGCAGCTCGGAGAGGCACCGGGTAAGTCTGGTTTGAGCCAGTACCCATCTCAGCAGGGCAGCCCGGGTAAGTCGCTTGATGTTTCCATAGTCTGGTTCCTGTGCCTCAACACATGCTTTTGTGGGAGGAGTGTAGAGAAACCCACAATCATTAATGACTATTACTCCCCCACACACTAGAAATCTAAGGATTCTAGAAATCAAATCTTTTCTTACTAAAATGCTTTCTAAAAACCCTCCGACAGTATCTGAATGGCTACCTGCCGTCCTTCCGATTGCTTTGTTCAATTTTTTAGAAAAAACAGGGTCAGGTTCAGCGTAAGGGCTGAGCTGCTCTTCTATTTAAAGAAAACCCAGGACAACCAAACACTGGATTCTTTAGCACAATGCTACTCCACAAAAAGGAGATGGACAGACACATCCAAAGCCCAACGCTGCAAGCTCTGCTGTGCTTGATGTAATTACTAGGATGCCACAGCAGGAGGAAGGAGGCAATTACTAATAGGGGAGAAAAGCCTGTTAAGAAGCACTGGCTAAGCTCACAGAAAACTAATAAGAGACTAAGCCTCGGAAATGCTCCTGTGCTTGCAGGTAGAGTCTTTCTTCAGCCCCTCTCAGTGCCATGAGATGAAAAGCCTCCCCACCAGCAGCTGTGCGCAATTAGAGGGCAGGCTGTGCCTACAGAGCATGGGAGATTTGCGGCTGCCCCCCGTGCCACAAGCCTGCTCCAGTTTCTCCGGCTTTCTAACTACAGGCAGGGTCTCTAGAGAAACCTCTTTGCTTCCAGCTGGGCAAAGCTGACGCAAAAACTCACTGCCACATGGGAGAAGTATAAAATCAAGTATAGAGCGCTGGATAACTAGCTCAAATACCTAGCAGATAGTGACACAGGAGAACCAACGACACTGCCCCAAGCTTCGGGGTGGTTCCCTGCCGCCCTTGGACCCACAGCACTGATAGGAAAGAAAGTGCTTTCAGTGCATTTCTCAACACCTACTAATGTACTCCATAGACTTAATTCCTGCCATGCTGCTTTGCAGCGCGTTCCGACAAAGCATGGGTTTGACTGCGCGGCACGCTGGTCACCACCCCAGGACCAGCTGTAACGGACAGGAGAACTACTTCATTACCAACCACAAGAGCATACAGTGCTTTGCTGTCTAGCTTGAAGCGCCCTAGTCCTCAGTGGTAGAGGAGGACAGTCAGCAACAGCAGGAGCTATTGTTTGGAAGACCAGCTCTATACGCTGCTTTAAATGCCACGCAGCGTCTCAGAGCCCAGCCCCGAGCAGTCCCCTTTATGGCCCACCATCACTGGGAGGCATGTGCGTGGGGAAAGGCAGTCTTGAAAAGCAAACGCCTGCTCCTATCGTCTCCCAGACCCAGTGAAACAACCAATGCACAGTGCTTGGCTACTATTAAAAGAGAGCCCGACTGCTTAATTAATTGACCAGGCAGCTACATAAGACCTGCCTCCCCAGCCTTTGATCTTCGCCAGGGGTAGGTCGCAGTTGCTCCTCTGCAGAACACCAGTGCAGTTCAAGCCTGTCAGGTTTTGTTCTGTGGCTCCTGCAGATGCCTCCCATGCCATAACATCTACCAGGGATCATCATCTGACAGCACATGGCTACCACTGCTGCTTTTTTTCCAGACAGAACACGAAAATAGTGCTCTTCCTGCCTGCAGGCAACACAAAGCAGGCCCATCACCTTCCAGGATCAGAGCCTTGTTTTTACAAGGTTCCCGAAAGCTTTCTGGGCAAGCTCGTAGGCAGGACCTCTGCCGCGCAGCTGCGGTCCAGCAGGCAGCTCTGCGTGTCCTCAGAAGCACTTCCTATTCAAATAGGAGATAAGCTAATGCAGCCTCCGCGATGAAGCATCCTTATGATGCTTTTTGTTCTTGTACTTTTATCCGCCCAGGAAATCTCTGCTCAGAGGCAGCATGTTCAAACAGATCCTTTAAAAAAAAAAAAACCCTCAGAGATAACGGGGCCTTCCCCCCCCCCCCAACAATGGCAAGGATAAAGGGGGAGGATATGGGGGAGGGAGGAGTATGACATTAAAGAGAAAGAAAAAAATTTCCTATTGTCCTGGAACGCTTCTCCACATACTGATTCCATATGGAGCAAATACCAAGGGATATTTCTGTCACCAGACTGTCCAGAAAAGCAGAACTAACACACATTACTAAACAGTCCTAGTTCGATAACCCAGCTTTAAGGATCCCCTGTTCTTCTGCTCCACTGGCACTAGCTGACCTCCGAAAAAAATTATCCAGAACCCTTAATTACCAAGAACCAGTCACGCTAGAAACATATTTTCAACATATTCATTATTTACCGGTTAGCAATTCAAATGCTTTAACCGGATGCTCTAATAGGAGGAAAAAAGCCAAGTAGAGGTTGCCAGAGCTCCAGCAGAGCTGGAGGAAGGATATCTAGCGACTTCCATGTGTCTGCTGTCAAAAGGAAAAATGAGTTGAGAGCAATAGCACAGGTACATTAGCATAAGAAGCAGAAAGAGAATGACTAATAGGAAGAAGCTGAACACTCACTTGTGCTGCCTTATCTGCTGTATTGAAAATCTCTTGGCTGGGTCGTATTCAAGCATCCCTGAAAAGAAGGAAAAAAAGTCCAGGTGTGATCACAGATGCTCTCAGCCAAGTTGAAGACAGGAGGCATAAAGCTCTACCCTTCCCTCCCACCTCCCGCCCCCAGCAGTGACTGGCACGTCCAGTCCTCACGGCAGCCTCGGGAGCCTTTACCTCCAGGAAGAATCTGCTGCATCGGCCACAGGAAGCTCAGCACAAAATCCCAACTCCATTGCTGACTACCTGATCAAGTCTGTTCCTCAGTTTCCCCACCTGCAAAGTGGATATGACCTTTCCCTCCTCCACACTGCGGGGACAGAGGCTTGTGCAGCCCTGGATTGTATGTCCGAGCATGTCTCCAGGCAAAGAACATCAAGACTTTGCATTTCACAGATAATGCTACTGAACTTTCTCCATGGAAGAGCCAAAGCCTCAGGCATAGCATATATCCAGGTGCTCAGCATCCCAGAAACTCTAGTCTAGTGAAATTCTATTCTGGAAGTAAAGCTGGGGAGAACTGACAAAAACAAACAAACAAAAATCCTACTGTCCATCCTTTTGCCCAAGCCAGGAGTTTGGTTTCTGGCCTCATCAGCTGGGGTGGGGTGAGAAGAGCGGGGAGAGGAAAAGTAGCTCATCTGCATTGTCTTTAGGAGAGAGGGAGGTGGATTCCTTAAACAGACTCACAAGATGCCCGCTCTGCGCCACTGTCTTTAGAAAGCTTCACAACTCAACAGAAGGGAAGGAGCACATTTTGCCATATTCTTCAGAAACTAGCCTGAGGGACCCAACAGGTCTCAGCCAGCAGCATCCAAGATATTCTCCAATGAAGGTTCCAAGAATATATTCACCCAATGAATGTTAACAAAGTCTCAATCCATCCGTTACGAGGAGTTTTGCTTTAACTGGATGATACCCCCTTGTTGACTTGAAGCACTCGTGCTGTCGAGTCTTGCACAGGTAGCACCAAGAGTAAGGTTTTGGAAAGAGGCGAGAGAACGGGAGGACCCTGCCTCCAGCAACCAGAAGAAAAGAAAGGCTGGGGAGCAGAACAGACCGTCAAACAGGAGTTAAGAAAGTCAGGACAAGGCGCAAACGGTGCAGAGGCTGGGGAGAGCCAGCACAAGGACACAGTGAAAACACCGGGACAGGAGATAGAGTTGGATGGACACTTAGGAAGGGAGGTCTGGAAAGAGACATTGTAGTTCAAGTAGGAAGTTGCAAGGGCCGCGCAGACAAGTTTCTGCAGTACTGCTGAACAAAGGTAACGGAAGAGATAAATCACCAACAGCACAAGCGATAACAAAAGCTGATCCAGAACATCTTCCTTGTCAGTTCAGTTTGTGTCACATTACTAACAGTAATGAATATAAAGGTATAGCACCGAAGGACTGAAGTTATTTTCCCCCCAGAAACCAAAATACAGTTTGCCGTGGCAATTTGTAAAGGTTTATCGGTGCTGATGACAGCACTAATAGCTTTACGGCAGATGGGGTCACTACTGATCCACATGACATCACTACGAAGTAGGTTACAGAAACTCAGGAAGACGTCTCCAGGTTAGAGAAGGTCAAGTGCATCACGGGCATCTGGCCTCATGAACTCAAGGCACCGGAGTCTTCAGAGCCCAGCTCTCCAGAGCGCTTTAGGCAGAGCACACCGGAAACTTATGCTTGCCTTGCCGAGACCATGAAACCCACCATCCAGCTATACTAGAGTGACATGGCTGAGCTTGACTGGAGCTACAGCAACAGCTCCCTGCTCAAGAGCTCTAAACCTTGAGAGCAGTTCCTTCTCTCTGGTAGCTTCTCCCCTGAACAGGTTAAAGCCCTACAAACGAACAGCCCAGGCTGCAGCCACTGACCATAACCACACGTGGCAGGAGGTGACTAATGCCAGAGAGAATGCCAGAAGCTGAAGGGCTCAGCTGCGAGGTCTGCTACTGAGGACCACCACTGGAAGTGTATTTTGAGATGGTCTCACAGCGAGGGCGAGCGAAGGGAAGATACGGTTGAACCGTCTTCACCAGAGAAGGGATCTGATCCTGAACCTTGCTGTCCTGCAAAGTGCTGCAACGCTTGTAACACAACATTTGGGTGTTTCTGCAGGGCTAACTCCAAGCTGTTTCCTCACCTTAGCCATTGCTAGTGAACTGATGCTGGAGAAAACTCTCCTTTTTCCAGTGGGTACTAGAAAACAAACTGCCTTACATTTAAAAAAAATAATTATCAGTTTAACACTGAACACAGCCTTTATCAGGGACTTTCTCCACAAGGGTCCTTGCAACGTGCGTTCCTCCTTTCTTCTGTACTCCAGCGTGTGTCCGTAGCCGACCCTGCAGCCTTCTCGGAATCCCGGAGCAGCTGAGGCTGGAAGCGACCTCTGGGGATCACCTAGCGCAACCCTCTTGCTCAAAGCAGACTCAGCTTGCCCAGGACTGCGACCAGTTGTGTTTCCAACACCTCTGAGGACGGAAACTCTACAACCCTGCTCTGCAGCCTGTGCCAGTGCTCACCCATCTTTGCAGTAAAGGGCTTTTCTCATGTTCAGACATTATTTCTCCTCACCTTACAAGAAAAGAAGTAATAACTGGAAAACAAGTTGGGAAGGTCGTTCAGAGAAAAAAATCCCCCACCTAATTAAATGACCTATTAATAAGATTATTAGACATTAGTTTCACAGCTGAGCTGCCCACATGTTGGCTTTTTAAAAAAAAAGAAAAAAAAAGAAATAGGACTGCAAAGAGATCTTAGATGAAGTCTAGGGGACATCAAAGCATGTGCTGCCTGGGTTATCTTATTCATGTAAACAGGAACAGGTAAGTCAGGACACCCCCACCCCCCCCATTTAAAGACTACATTTCAAAGTGGTTTTGGAATCCAGCTTGCTATCATCGAGTTCAGAATAAACTTCTGCACATCCAAGCAGACACCACTAGAAACTCTTCACAGAAATCCGAAGTGCAGTGGGACTGTCTCGCGGCTCCTGCGCGTTCACTTTGGGATGAGCTTCACCAGGGCACTGCAGAAGAGGAGCTGGAGCACCCTCATAAGCAGCTCGCTCTGACCAAAGGGAAAAATAAACATGCAGCAATCCAAATACTGTTTAAGGAATGACAAGGCTCACAGAGAAATTTAAGGCGTTTACCAGATAAAACTGGTACACGCAGAGGATAAAGTTCCCCGATAAGTTATTAAAAGAGGCGCAACAGCACCAGTTACAAATAGCTATGGCGCAGAGCGCTGCATGGTTCTCAAGCAATGAAAAGGCATAAAGAAGATAATTGAGAAAAAAGAATATTTACTTTAATGAAAACAGACCGTATTTTGGGCAATGTTTGAAAGAAAATGGAAAGTCCAATCACCGAAAACGTACATTCACGCATTCAGCTCTGAGTCACTCACGGCAGCTCTGTGGCTGAGGTCCTGTACCGAAAGGAGACTTCATCAAGGCAAAACATCATGTACTATTCACCAGTCAAGTCATCTAAGAGCGTCTGCCCACAGGAACCACACATACTCTCTACCATTTACGGTAAAGATTTCCACGCAGTTTATCCGCGAGCAGAGATGAGACACATTGGAACAGGGCGATTCCTCAGGAGGACGCCTGACTCGCAAACCTCTGCTCCCACGGTATTTCAGAAGGATTCGCGGTGCCCATACATGGCGTACTGTGCCCATCGCGGCACAGTGGCACTCTCAGACCCCTTTTCAGATTATGTCAAGTGGCAATCCGGAAACTGGAGACTACGAACCTGTCTTGAGCTCCTTACAGACTCCAGCCCACACACTCCAATAATCCTGAACAAACACAGCACTGTATCACGGGGTAGAACATCTAGTTTTTAGCAGACAGCACAATCTTAGGTGTGTCATTTGAGAAGCAGGAAGAAATCCGGCAGCGGGAGTCAGCGAACTCAGCCTGGATTTTACTTCAGCCTCCAACTCATATCAACGTTTAAAACAACCCATATAAAACCGGTGTAAGTCCAATCTGTAAAATGAGACAGGACTTCTCCCCTCTCCTTCATCCTCCCCAAGCACAGCTGGGCGTTCTGACCATGAACTCCCTCTGCAGGCAAACCTCGAGCCTTTGATCAAACACACGCGGAAGACTCGCCGCTGGCCGGGTGACAGCCACCAGCCTGCCTGGCTGTGGGCGCCGGGGACTCCCTGCCACTACACAATTAAAGCATCCCACTGTCACCAGGATGCACATCCTCTCACCATCCCTGTACCGAAAGGTCACGGCAGTGATACAGACGCGAGAAACCAAAACGCTGAGGAACTAACCAACTCGTGCCTGGTCGTAGAGTCTGTAGCAGAGCCTGGAAAGAAATCCATATGCTTAACGCAGAGACTGCAGTCTCAAAGCTTTCTCTTTCGGTAAAAGTATATTAGAAAAGGAGAGAGAAAAGCTGACCTTGTGCATTTTTCTTGTCCAGAAGCAAACTGCACACAAGTTGATAAGTCATGTGCAGATGGTGACAGAAGAACCTTAAAGCTATTTATAAATGCTTTTTCCACTCTGACACATCTTTACTGACTGTACCCACAGAGGCCAGAACAGTGCTAGCCCTTCTCTTTTCCACCAGTGAAGAGTATAAATAAAGCTTCATCCCTGATTAGGGAGACAAAAAGAGGAGCAGCATCCCAACTAATCTGTTGAAATACACTGTCATGCAAGTCTCTTTACAGTTCAAATATCACAGAAGCTTTAAGTCCTCTAAAATTCTGCTTCATCTGGAAAGAGGAACAAAGAAATAAAAAACAAGGTCAAGGAGGGGGGAGAGTAAAAAACACATTTAAAAAAGTAGTCAACAGAAGAACAGGGAAAAAAAACAACTTAAAAAAAAAAAGCGTATTCTAGAGTTTGCTTCACAGCCAGACCGGTACTGTGGTCACCACAGCACTTAGAGCCACAGAGGAAACAAGCACTTTGCAGCACACTGAATTCTTCCTTACAATAAAACCAGAACAAATGCTTGCAGCACTGCAGAGTGCTTTAAGAGTCTTTTAAAAGCAATGCAAAGGCGAAACAAAGTCTCTAGTGAGATAGAGCCGAGCTGTGGGTGTCTGCACTGCTCATATAAAAGCATCAGCCAGCCATTGACAGCATCTGATGTGCAGGCTTTTGATTCAGCTTCAACCTGCCGCAGGAGGAGCACGCACCTACCAGGAAATGCAGATGTTCTGGAGCAAAAGCATGAACTAAATAAAGCATTCGGGTTTCATCACCATAGCTACGTAGTAGCACCACGTAGCTCAGCCTTGCTCTCTGCTGGGCTGTGGGGATGCTCAGGCCTCCGCCGCGCCGAGGGACCCGGGGCAGTCCCACTCCGTAATTCAGTCCCCTCAGGTCCACCAGAAAAATCAAAGCGTGTCAAGCCAAACAAGGATAACATCAGGAGTTCTTGCCAGCTTTTAGGGTGTAACGAGTGCATGCAACAGGATGAGGGCTGGGAGAGTGTTCTCAGGTGGGACGGAGGGAGAACAGAAAAAGAAATCCTTAGGGCTTCCCACCTCCCTGGAAGAAAGGGTCCAATTTGAGAGACACAGACATCTCCCCTGGGCAACTCCTCCGCCTGCCAAACGTGCTCGACTTGCATCTCTAGTGTTCAAACACAGAAGGGGTGAAGAGAGACAGCAGGCAGGATGAAGGAAGCAACGCAGGCTGGAGAGATGGACGGTTTTGGACAAAGGGCATCAGGTGCAAGGCCCCTCCGTTTAAGATGGGGCAGAAGGAAGAGCAGGAGATTCTGACTCCAGGTCTCATCCAGGGGATGGAAAGAGAACCAAAAAGGGAGTTACTCTGCTAATGAAGCATAAGATTTTAAGCTATCAATATCCCCAGGACAAGAAAAGAGAAACAACCGCCAAACTCATCTTCCCCGGGGGCCAACACTAAGTGCAGCTGAGAGGCTCATCACAAGCCTCAAATGATTTCTGTGGGATGCTTCAGGAGACCGGCGGCCCGTCTAGATGGACCACGGGATGGACTCCATTTGGGTGATTCCCAAGCTCATAAAAAAGGCTGTGTTTTGCGCCAGCGTTCACAAATCAAATGCCACATGTAGATCAGGACACGGTTCCCCGGGGCAGGCGGACGCGACGTGAGACACACGCACCCGTCAGGAGTGCTGGGCTGTGAGCGGCAGCCGCGTCAGTCCCCGCAGAACGGCCGCGCTACCAACTGTGCTCAGTGCAGTTGGAAGCTGTGCCTGATGCAATGCTTTCCGAAAGCTGTTAAAGCTAGTTCATGCTTTTTGAAACACATGGAAATAACTTATTTCATAATCAGCATGGGGCCAGCGAAGCTAAAATAGTCTCCTCTGAGTGGGCTCGCAGGGCTCTGGCAGCTCCTCGGCGGCGGGGGGCCGAGGGGAGCCCCGGCGGAGGCAGCGGCAGGCAGAGCTCGGACAGACAGGACACAGCACGGGACACAGCCCCCGAGTTAGCGATAACCCCCGTGTTACCAGCAGACCTGCCGATGGGAGGAAGGGAACCTGAGCTCTGCTCGGTGCCCCACAGCCCTTCACCCACACTAACCTCCCGACCCCGGCAAGCACAAGAACCAGAAAAATAAGCTTGAAAGAAGAGAGCAGCATTTCATATTTGAGGTCTGACCTTTCACAAACAGCTGAAGACAAAGAAAAGCGAGCAAACCCGCGCAGAGGGCTGGGGAGCACTGCGACAGCGGTGTGGCAGCGGGAACTCCGGCCAGGACCTCCCACCCGCTGGAATCGCATCCTCTCTGCTGCCAAACGGGCACCGCCAGGTTGGCCGCTGGGCACAGCACAACCGCTGCCCTGACTATTCAGCTTTCAAAAGTAGAGACTGTTCAACACTAAACCTCTATTGCAATAAGTGACAGCAACAAAAAACCCACCCAAATGAAACCCACAACCCTCTCCTTCCACCCAGAAAGCGCTACTCCTATTTCTACCGCAGCCCTGCTGTGGAAGCAGGCACCTGGCGCTTTGCTCCAATATCCTTACGACTTTACATTTTGGGGGAAGGAGACGACAATGGGGACTGAAGTAAAAAAATTCAGAGCAGAGGCTGATGAGGAAGGACAGCAGAACCTGAGTACTCAGTATTTCACGTTATAGAAACCTTGGGCAAGGAATTTAATTGAGTGTTCTCACTTGCAAAACCCACATCAATGCCACGATGCCGTTTTAAATTTAATCTCTCGTGGGCTTTCTCTTTAGGTCTAAAAGCTTTCCAGAGCACAAGAAACAATGTAAAAACCAGTTCTATAAAGAGTAGTGACTGCAACCCATCCAGGGTTTAGTGTACCTCAGGAAAACATCAGCTTTAAAGATCTTTCAAAGTCTTATCATAAGGTTCATAAGCATAACCTCCCTTCCTAACAGGATCCCGTATCTCCACAGGATCTGTGGAATGAAGCTCGCCCCTGGCACTACGCAAGCCGAGCATTTGTTGCACCTACAGAGTTTACCCATCCCTTGAGAGTCAGTTGGGAGACTCACCTCTCAACAAGTCTGAGAGCGGAGGACCACAATCCTCTGGAATTGTGTAGTCACCTTTCCCGATGTTTTCAAATAATTTATAGATATTATCCCCTTCAAAGGGGTATAGACCCGTTGTAATGTTGTATCTGTAAAGGCAGAAGGAGAAGCTGTATGAGAAAAAGCACAGAGCAGGTGCTCAGCACTTCTGTGACTATGTAAACCAAAAGAAGCCAAGAGGAAACTAAAAGATGAATATTTGACAGTATTTGGAATGCCTCCTCAAACTTAGCCTTCCTTTATCGCAGCCTCTTCATTCACATGAGTCAAAACCACCAAGACATCTCCCTGACAGACTGGGATGGAAGCAACTTAAAAATAAATACTAGAGATATTTGTGGTTTCTATTATTACGGTAGCTGTGCATCTCTGATGTTGAGAAACGGCTGGCAGAGTTACTCACTGAGAGTAACCATTACTTTCTTCAGGATTACAAGCACTTTGGGGAACACACACCCATCCAAAGGGGCGATCAACACACATACACCCTCCCTGCTCCCCCCAGCGACACAGAGAAGAGCAGTGACGACAGCAGATAGCACAAAACCGAGCTATTTGGGGGCTTGGTAATTTTTTAAGTGCAATGCCTGGATGCTGCACGGGCACTTACAGCGTGACCCCTGCGGACCAGATGTCTACTTTAAAGCCTGAAAAGGTGTCAAGGCCATTGGCAATTTCTGGTGGCTGGAATGCTGGCGACCCTTGGCTCGTTCTGCACGTGTCATCCTCTGCAAAGGGATGCAATGCCTGCAGCAGAAGAGACCCGTTAGTTTCAAACTTTCAAGGCAGACAAATTGTAAACTGTTAGAAAAGTTTCACCTGGGGGAAAAAGGGGGAAAATTCTGCTACTGAACATCTACTTACATATCATGAGAACATGCCACTACAGCAACTACGCGCCAACAGTGACAGTTCTTGCACCTCTCCTACCTAGCTAAGACAGTCTTCATCTAATAAGGAGGATACGGTTACATAGTTTATCACCATTTCACCAGACTTTTGGTTTGTCTAAGAAGATGTCTTCCCCTATATACTTCCCGGATGGAAGTTTCAGGCTGTTGTCAGCAAAAGCATTTTGCCAATTGCAATAAATACTCAGAGTCACTCTAGAGCACTCTGCAAGTTTAACAGAACAAAAGCCTAAATGCGCAATAAATCGACACCACAAAGGTGACCTAAATCTAGAACGTCACGCTTCCCACATTCCCAACTTTGCTGCACTTCTCACATACCTCTGCTACTCCTAAATCGGATATTTTTAGTGTCCCATTGGTTGTTAGCAGGAGGTTCCCCGGTTTTATATCCTTGTGGACAATCCCTTGGCTGTGCAAGTATTCTAAGCCGTCTATAAGCTGACAAAAGTACCTGCAGCAAGAGAGGAACAAAAGTCAAGCACTTCCATAGAGTACGACTAAATGAACTACTGATAATACATTAAGCAAAGAGTGCTGTCGTTGGACACAAGTCAGAAATACATTTACATTTGATGAGGACCTTGAGATCGAACTGTGGCGTGTAAGAAATGGCGCTTAATCTTCCGACAAAGGCAGAAGTTACCTGGCAGAGCTCTGCAGCAGCGCGCTAACCACTTCAGACCCAGGGCTCCTCCACACCAAAGCCCTCTTCACAAGTCTGCGTATTTTGTAAGAGCTGAGCACCACACTGGCACAGACCTGATAGCCAATTCTGACACCTGCTTTAGTCTAGGCCAAGTTACGCTAACACGTTTCCTTCAGCCAGCAGAAAGGAGCGTTTGGCTGTACTTACGGTCGGAGACTATGGGCAGGCCAGTACTGTAACATAACAAGCATTGCACACTGGCAGCCCGGCAGCAATTGCACATGCATGTTTTTTATCTCATAACATCCAGAAATAACACCTGACTCAATGTGCCTGTATTTCACTTAGGCTACCTGTAACCTCAGACACCTTTTTTTAAACAAAATGAAAATATGACCATAAAATTCTGTAGTTACTGGTCTGCACTGATTTGATATACACAGCAATCTTCTTGCATCTATTTCCAGGATTCTAAGGTTGCTTCACTTGCAGAGTGAAAGGGGCTTCTGCTTATCCTATCTACTAACTAAACAAGCTAACAGATCATGTTGGATATTGCCAATCCTTAATCCATCCAAAGACCTTTAATCCTTTTTCTGACACCGAACTGTATGGCTTGCCCCCATTTAGACAGGGTAAGTCCTCGTGGATTCCTCCACTGCGCCATCCTCGCTGAACGTCGGAGCCGTAGGAAAGGGGCCAGGACGGGTTGTCATGTATCTTGTGATACAAAACAAAAGTAACAGAAGATTCAATAGAAAGATGTTTTTTCTTCCCAGATTCTAATGGCTGTTCCTGCCACCACTTCATCAGTTTTTCATTTTTCCAATGGATGTAAAAGATGCAGTTATTACACAAAGCCAGTTTTACTTTAAAGTGCAGCCAGCAGTCGCAGCAACAGAGTAGAACATGCTCTTGAATTCAAGAGACCACAGTGGTGAGAGGCTAAGGCAGCTAAGGAACAGAACTGTACTTACCCGTGAGCCTGAAAAACTGGAAACCTCTTTTCTGGGACACTGTCCAGCATCTCCTGCATCCCACACACACAGTACTCCATCACCATATACGTGAAGGCAGAGTTAAGGAAGCTTCAAGGTTAAACACTTCTCAGGCAAATGCCGTGCCAGGACTGCAGCCCCATTCCAGTACAACTGGAGAGGTGCCGCACAGGCAGTCCTGTTCCCTGGTACACACGCAGCGGAGAGACAGAGCCGGAGCTGTGCTGCACCTCCCAAGGAAGCCACCCTCCTCCAACTGCCTAACAGGAGGGGGCAAAGAACGCCCAGAAGATTCTGCTGCTTAATGACCAGCTGCAACTCAGACCTGAAACAGGATGCAAACTCCACAGAAACTAAGCTGGAGATCTCACAAGCATGACAGAGACAGGATAATGTTCCGAGGCGGCTACAAAAAGTTAGGACCCCCCTGGCAGAAGAGCTGTAGGCTGCAGCATATTCTCCAGTAGCCTGGCTGCTCTGCACTTGACGCCAGTGTCAGCGCCCATCACCTTCGCCAAAGTTTCTATTATTCTTAATTTCCTGTCCCAAACCAGTACAGCTGTATGCAGTACTTACAGCCGCTGCCTACCCCCCCATCCCCACGGCAGTATTTCAGTAGCAGGAGAAAGGATCCCTAGACAGCTGGAAAGCTTTTTTGAAACTGCATGGGTTAAAAAAAAAGTGATGACAGAATGCCAAGGACTGGTGGCACTTTTTAGCATTTGTTCCCTTGCAGCATATTCTGGTTTTCATCTCCTCAAGCTTTAACGTTGGGGCCAAACAATGGAAACTACACAAGTGCCTAAAGCAGTAATTGCCTCTGGTTTCCTCCTCTCCTCGCGAGGGGCTTGCACGAACAGACCCTGAGACATCTGGTGGCTTTGCCAAGGGAGTGCACCTTCAAGATAAAGAGCAGAGAAAAAGCACTGTCGGGTGGCCCAGGTTCTCCAGTAACAAAGCTTTTCTTTGGTCACTCTAATTATTCCTGGCAGATGCCTTCTTAGCCTAAGCCTAAAATAAGTTGCTTATGTCCCAGGATGCCACCTTAACTCTTGAGGCAGGAGCGGCTAAAGGGATGACCTGTGCTTTAAGTGGGATCTGTGCTAGAGATTGTGTTGCCCTTTTGCAGCACATTCTATCCAGGAGCTCAAAACACTGCGCAAACTCATTAAATTAGTGCTACATTCCCCATACGAGCTGCTCTTCAGAGGGACATTAAAATACTGTAAGATTTTAAGACGGGCACAATGCCACCCAGTCAGTCAGTAGAAGCAAGAATAGCAGGAAGAGCTCCCAAAATTCATTCCTACCGCTTCTTACTCTGGAAGAAATCCGTGAACTACTTATATCACAGTGATGTGGAAGACATCAACTCTCCCACCTTCAAGAGAATAATACTAACAGTAGATTATACAGACTAGCTCCCGGGAAGCAAAACCCAGCGCTCGTTCTCATCTACAGAGGACAGCCTGGTTTCGGTTTCATTAGCTGCCAGACTGTTTTTCACCCCTTCTTTTGTAACTGATCCCTCTCTGGTTGATCAGCCAGATTAGAGCACAAACTTTCAGGCTGGAGCAGATCTATTACAGGTGCCCCAAGAAGACTGAGGCTCTCAATTCTTCTAATCAATAGGGTTCTGCTCCCACGCACAACCGCACACACTGGTAACAGAAGCTGTCAGAGAGGGTGCCAGCTGGGACGCTGCTTATTGAACTGGGTTTATTTTCTGCCTGGATTAGTTCTCCATTCATCACCCGCTCTGCATTCCCAGCCACAGCAGGTCATCAAAGCAGCCCATTAAACACTAAGCGTAGTTGATATTTTTAATCCAGTCGTCACAGCTTTCCCTTTGCCCAAGAAAATCATTGAAGGCTTTGACTAGGCAGGTACGTTGTTAAAACACTATCTTCCCAAGCATAAACATCGCCGAAGCCTGCAGTTCGCTTCCATCAGCAAGAGAAAACCCAGGTGAGAACAGAATCCTTCCTTCGTCCACAACCCAATTTCAAATGCCACAATGGTCATTCTGGAAATGAGGACTTTCTTTTTATTAGTGAGGGGGAAGTTGACATCCCGCCCCTATACCCCACTCAACTTCCATCTGGCATTGCGTCCTGTAAGGCACCAGTACGGGCATGTGCACGGCTACAGAGCGAGATGAGTACGGGACCCGACCTACAGAGAAGGCAGCCCAAAAGAGAAAGTTACTTTTCAGCTGGATCTGTTCCCAAACCTGTTTACCATGCGGCTGCACAAGCGTTTGTACTGCCACATCCTCAGACATGCTGCACAGGCACCGGCAGTGCCAAGGAGAAGCTGGAGAAAGGTTAAGCAAGAACATGACCGTGGATGAGTTCCTGCTCCCAGCCCCAGTGACACAACAAACTTCTCCAGTTATTGCCACTCACGTGCACAGAGTAAGCACTTAGAGAAATAAACATTCTAAAAGCGTAGAAAGAGATAAAAATAGTGAAATCAGCCTATACTTGCAAGGGGAAAGTACTGAAAAACAATGTGTTCTTTTTCAAACACTACTGTTGAGAAAGTAAAGCAAGGAACATCCTTCCTGGCTGCGAGAGGTCACGTTTCTGAATGACCATTTTGGGTTGTCATCACCTGTTACCAACACACGAGGTCTCTCTCGGGCTCTTTTTCCCCATGCTTCTCCTTCAGCAGCCCAGCTTCTTATTAATTAAACGCTATCTTTCTATAGGCAGTAATTGAATTGCAATCCCTTCAGTCTGTTAAGGCTACAAAACACAAGCAAAAATCGTCATGCTTTTTCTATACTAATGATTTGGTGGCAGAATATTTGTTCTAATTAAAGCACACAATTAAATTACCCATTTTCTGAAGTACTGTAATTGGAAGACAGTATTTAGAAAACACTGTCAAAAATAAAAGCACCCATTTATAACATGTACTCCAGCAGATCAGCTCAATAAACTTACAAACTGGTTGAAGTCAAAGTGCACGTTAAGTGTGGCAGACTCGTTAGAAATCCAGCTGCTCACTCGCAAGTTAAGGCGTGTAATCGCGGCGGTTAGTGGCTGTGCGTGCTTGGGGGACACAGTGCACTGGAGTAACATGTTCACGTCTGAAAGACGCACCGAGATCACAAGCCACAGCTTTGGTTCAAGAATGGAACGGTTGACTCTCAGGAAGCCGGGCTGTAGATCCCAGGAGCAGCGCGTTCTCAATCTCTCACGACTGTTACAAGCTTTGGGTCACTTAAAGCACTACCACAAGGGACTTTCACACAAACAACAGACCAGAGGCGCCTTGGGCAGGCTCGGGAGCTCATCTGGGCTTGTTACGGGTAACCAGCAGCAAGGCAGACCGGCCGCCCCGGGAAAGGCAGCGCTGCAGCAGTACAGACCCTCCGACGGGAGGGAGAGCTGCAGGCACCGGATGCCAGCAAACGAGCAGATTTTTTTCTTCGGATGGAAAGAAAAAATACCTAACCCGTTGCCAAGGACTTAAAGGAAAAAGCATTACAAAAATTGATTTCACATAGCATAGACAATAAAAGGTTCATCTTCAGGGAAAAAAAAAGCACTAACACACACCACAGCCAGGGCGGGAGGTTGGAAACAACGGACCCACAGCACTTTTTTCATCTCTGAGCTGCTGAGTTTCATCTCTGAGGTCGCGCTATAAAACACAGTACTCGAGGGTCAGTTCTCCCCACCCCAGCCCTGCATCTGTAACCTGGGGACAATATTTCATTTCCTAACTGGGAAGCTGGGAAACTTAAGAAAATGTACTCGTGTGGAAAGTATTCCAGACATGCAGCATGTTTAATACCAGTGAAAGCAATTTTAAGCTTAAGAAACATTCAAAAGGGCCTTAACAAAAGCAGAACTATAATGATTCAGCACTATACCAGGGAACAACAGGAATTCAAACCTTATTAACAACTGCATGAAAAAAGGATATATTTTCTGCTTCTCTTCATTGTATAACACATCTACCAACTGGATAACATTTTTGTGCCGTAATCGTCGCAGGAGCTGAATTTCCCTGCAGGAAGAGAAAAGGAAAAAGTTAAGTTTAAAAAGCCCGTTTCCTTAGTATAGCATGAAATTAATGTTTTCTAAATCACATGGATTTTAAAGGCACTTCAAACCACGTTAGTCCAAGCTGCTTCACCTACCACTACTTACGCATGCTGTTTGACAGAAGGCCTTGTGTGTTCTTGAATTCATTAGTCCAAGGTTAGACCATGAAAATACTTACTGGTCACCGACGAGGACTATGAACAAGTGCCCTTTCAGTGGACACTACACAGCCAGTCGGTCTTCCCTGGGCAGGAATTTTAGTCCATTGGTAAACAACAGCAGGAGGACTACTCTCAAGGAGCAACCTGCCTTTGTGCCACACATGAAACTGGTCACAAGAATGCCCTGTGCCAACACTTTGGTGACGTTCCATGCAGGGTATTACTTCTGCTAATAGAAAGTTTTATTCTGCACTCCAGTGTAAGCTTTATTCCGGTTTTACCCATAAAACCTGTGCAGTGCTCCCCTCGAGCTATTCGACCGGCCGACAGCCGAACGGCCCCATTCGGAGTGAGCAGGAATAAGACAATGGCAAGCTCCATCAGAAGAAGAGCATCAAGCTGAGCCAACCCAGGGAAAACCACTCCTGGTGAGATCCTGCTGGACCCTCAGACACCAGCTGCGAAGAGAAAGCAGCCTGAGGACACCCTCCGCAAAGCCCCTGCCTCCACGGGCGACACTGGCCCTGCAAGAGCCTGGTGCGGCAACCAACCCTCCTCCTCCTCCTCCCCCCACCTCCCCCATACAAGAGGGGTCTGCAGTGTCCCCTGTGGTCCCCTTCTCGGCTCGTGTCCTTCCCCATGGCCCTGGGCACCCACCTCGCCGTTCCCAGGTAAAGCTAGCGCTGGCAGAGGAAAGCTATGGCTGGAACTGAA